AGGAGAGAAAGTTCTCACAGGTGGAGGCTGAGGCATCAGGTAAGACTGAGGTGGATGGATTTAAAACAGAGTTAATTGTATTAAATAACACCCTGGGGCAGTGGCTACTGTTTGTGATAATGTTAGACAGAAATTGTGATTTTGCATCATTAACAGATCTCTGATACAGAACAAGAGTTATCCTTAATAAAACCAAAGAATCATGTTGCCTGTCATGCTTCCACTGACTTTCAGCCCTTCTACATTGTCTCCTGAGTTTGCATGCAGTAGGATTTTTCATCCAAGGCTCAGCTCTGGGTTTAGGGTGTCTGAACTTCACCGGAGCAATAGAGTCCAGGATCCCAGTGCAGGTATCAGAAAACAATGACAGAAAATCTTTGGGACACAGAGAAACATCAGGACCAACTGAATAAAACTGTGAGTCCATAAAAGCAGTGGTAAACTGATGGGCACTGGCTGAGGTGAGACAGCGGCGATGACACCCCGCAGCCAGAGGCCTCCTGGCTGGGTGGGGGGCTGTAAATTGGAAAAAAATAGGGAAATGATCCAAGATGGCAGACTCAGAAATTTCAAAGTGAGAAATGGACAGTCCATGAGAAATAATAAGGTCCAGAGTGTGGCCAAGATGATGTGTTGGTGAATTCACTGATTGTGTTCAATTAAAAGAGGCTAAAAGCTTTAAAAACTCAGAAGCCAGTGGGTCAGTGGGACAACAAATACGAATATTAAAATCTCCACAAATAAAAAAACTGGCATTGTTAGAAATAATATCAGCAAGGAATTCAGAGAATTCTTGAATGAATTCCTTGTTATATTTAGGTGGGCGATAGGCAACAGCACATAAAACATTCGGGGTGAGCTCAATCACAAACATCTGAAGTTCAAAGGAGGAGTAAGTGATGGTGAGCAGAAGTCTGCATTTAAAATTGTCCTTATAGATAGTGGCAACACCACCACCGCAGCCTGTCAGACGTGGGGAGCTGAAGAAGGAGCAGCCCGAGGGGGAGAGATCAGAAAACGCGCTGTTATCGCCCGGTCTCAGCCACGTTTCTGTCAGCAGCAGAAAGTCCAGAGAGTTTGAGCAGAAGAAATCGTGGAGAATAAAAGTTTTATTTATGACAGATCTAGTGTTCAGAAGAGCCATCCGGATGGAGCACTGGCTGTTATCCTGGGATGCGCGGCCAAAGGAGCGGAGGTTCTCCTGAACCCTGCCACGCCTACAGATCTTTGCACGCCGAAGACCAGGAAATGCGCCGCTGCCGGTGTCCGTATCCACGACGCGTAACCAGCTGTATGAATATTCCATGGGGCATCGTATGTCCACAAAGTTGTATTTCCTGAGAATCTTGCGCGAAGATTGGAATGAAGAAGAGGCGAAGTGAGCCCGAAGCTTCACAAGCAACCCACTCCTCCTGCCGCGTCTCCTGCGACGGCGCCCGCTGCGGGCGACCACAACACAAGGATTCCGTAGAAATGGAGGTATGGATGCCAGGTGAGGTGGAGGAAAAGTCTTGGATCGTCCATAAAGGTCACGAAACGGTACTTTTCCCACGATGGAATTAATATTTAAAAGTGTCTGGCGGTCATAAGTAAACAGTGATGACACAATCTGAACAAAAGTCAAGAAAAATAGCACAAAAAAGTAACAACTTGAGGAGAGACAGACGACAAGCCACGTACAACGGCGCCATCTTGTCCATGTGGTTTATTCCGTTCAACAGAACAAGCTTCCTTCGAAGTTGTAGGGCGTTACGCCCGGGTGAGTTCACAGCGAGGCGCTGTGACTCCGCTGGGATGGACGGACCCTCGTCTCACGGTCAAATCCATCAGCTATTGATTAAATCTGAAAGTTCTTTAGGAACTCTCAGTAAGACTTAAGTCAGAGATTCCACTCAGAAGTGGAAGACTCAAGGAAGACTGAATAGTCCCAGGAAGTGTTTAGTTTTTAAAGAATACTCACTTCCTGTCACTTGGTACTTCCTGATTGGTTGAAACAACCAGCAGGGGGGTGGTTCTAGTGATGTCAAGAGGTTATTAAAAGTCAAGAGAGGATGCAGGAATGTTTAGGAACGGTTAGTACAGACAGAGATATGTTTATAAGAGGTGAGAGGAAGCCGGTGCCAGTTGCTTCTTATTTACTGTCAGCTGAGTTTTAAAACAAGGCACTTCGTTCTCATAACTTGCTTTCTGACTTCTGACCGACATCAAATCCACTCATTCAGACAGAAGATCAAAATGCACAATTACTTTGTAAATAGACATTTAACTTGATTTCTAAGTCTAATGAGGTTTAAAAATCATTGATACTGTTTCACAGTTGATTTAAATGAGTGGTTCACTTCAACATTTAGAAATGGTATGAACTAAACACACTTTGATTATCAAGATATTCTAAAATAGTAATGATAATGAAAAAAGAAGAGTGTTCTTTCAATTGATTAATTCAGGATACAATTAAACAGTCTCTGGATGAGATAATTTGTATTTCTGGATTCAAATCAATGAAATAGCAGTTCCTGTCCCATGAAGGTCTTCAGAGACAGGTTGAGGTCGGAGGCCTAGTTCACTACAATATATTTATAATATATTTATAAAGTCAATAAAAATGTATAAAAAAATATATATATGAATGACAATGTGAGCACTGTAAAATAATTTAAGCAACACGGTGGCACAACTGGTAGAGCTGCTGCCTCTCAGCGAACAGGTCCCTGGTTCAAATCCCGGTCCGGGGGCCTTTCTGGGTGGAGTTTGCATGTTCTCTCCGTACCTGTGTGAGTTTTCTCCTGGTACTCCAGTTTCCTCCCACAGACCAAAAACATGCATGTTAGGCTGATTGGTAACTCTAAATTGTCCCTAGGTGAGAGAGTGAATGGTTGTTTGTCTTGTTTGTCTCTATGTGGTCCTGTGATGGACTGGAGACCTGTCCAGGGTGTACCTCACCCCTCGCACTGTGATTGCTGGACATGGGCACCGGCGACCCCCGTGACCCAAAATGGAATAAGCGGGTAAAGATAATGGATGAATGGATGGATTTATTTTGTATAAAATATACACTTTCAATGTAGGGTATTTTTGTTGATAATTTCTCTTATTTTCTGTATTTTCTTATTTTAACTAGTTAACAAGTATGCATTTGAGCAAGACATTTTAATTCATGAAAATATTGTTATCCCATAGGCGTCACAACCATTATATGTGAAGGGGACGTGTCCCCCCACATTACAAAAATGTTCATTTAGAAATGGAATTAAAGTCAGGAAATCTAGATGAAATGTTGCTTTTTTTGTACAATAGTGTACATTTTATGCACACGAGCACGCACACACTCACGCACACACACACACACACACACACGCACGCACGCACGCACACAGGTTTGTTTTGCTATCTTTGTGGGGCCTTTGCACACACGCACACACACATCAGAGTCAGAGTCAGAGTTTCTTTATTGTCATTCGCACCTCATGTGGTACATGTGGTGGAGCGAAATTATGTCCACAGGGTCCCAGTTACATCCAGCAATAAAATGTATAATAAAAACAGTAATAACATCTAAGATATGAACTAAGAAAAACATCAACTAAATATACACTAAGCACTCATAACATAAAACATTGAACATCAGCACAAACATGAACATGAGTCTGTGAGCAGATGTGCACGCATGAACACATCAACATTGAAACAGATCAGCAGCAACATGAAACAGATCAGCAGCAACATTGAAACAGATCAGCAGCAACATGAAACAGATCAGCAGCAACATGAAACAGATCAGCAGCAACATGATATGGTTTTTCACAGTGATTATTCTAGTTAGAGATTCATGAGTCTAACAGCCTCAGGGTAGAAGCTGTTCCTCAGTCTAGTGGTTCTACACTTAATGCTCCTTAACCTCCTTCCTGAGGGGAGTGGGGAAAAAAGTGTGTGTGCTGGGTGGGTGGGGTCCTTCATGATGCAGGTGGCCCTCTTCCTGCATCTGGAGGTGTAGATGTCTGTGATGGTGGGGAGGCTGATTCCAACAGATTTCTGTGCAGCCTTCACCACTCTCTGCAAAGCTTTTCTTTCTGCAGCTGTGCAGCCTCCATGCCACACGTTGATGCTCGAGCACAGGATGCTCTCCACTGCACACCTGTAGAAGGAGGTGAGGACTGAGCTTCCCAGACCAGCTCGCCTCAGCCGTCTGAGGAAGTAGAGTCTCTGATGAGCTTTCTTGATCAGGCTGGTGGTGTTGTTGCTCCAGCTGAGGTTGTCATTCATGTGTACACCCAAGTACTTGTAGCTGGAGACCACTTCCACCGCAGATCCTCTTATGTTCAGGGGGTGTAGGTGTTTTTGTTCCTTCTGAAGTCCACAATCATCTCCTTTGTCTTCTTCACATTGATGTGAAGGTTATTCTCTCTGCACCAGCTCTCCAGGTGTTCCACCTCCTGCCTGTAGCTGGACTCATCATTGTTTGTGATGCATCCCACCACCGCTGTATCATCTGCAAACTTTACAATGTGACAGCCTGGATGGGTAGCTGCACAATCATACGTGAGCAGAGTAAACAGGAGGGGGCTCAACACACATCCCTGAGGAGAGCCAGTGCTGAGGGTTATGGTGGACATACACACACTATAGTGTCCCCCCACCCCCCACATTACAGATGCTTCTGACGCCCATGTGTTATCCAATCAGATTCTTTAAAATTTGCATCTCCAGGCAAAGGCAAGTAACCATGGCTTACATGGTTGTAAGAAGAAATTATATAAAAATGAAATAAAAACAGCTACATTATAAAGCAACATAAAATAGTAAAAACAAGAACATGTCTACGTTGGTTTTTACCATGAAGTTTTTACCATGAAGTTTGCCTCCTTTAACCTTCTTAAATGATTGTTTATGACTTACATGCATGTCCCATACTGTGTATACAATGAGTACTTTTATTTAGTTTTTGTTAGAGAATAAAGTTTTTAAATACAGTTGCATATTGTAGATAAAGTGTCAAAAACCTGGAAAGGACACCGGCATGTCCCATTTGGAAAATGTTTCCTCTATCTCCTCGGTCACAGACTCAAAGATAGACTGGCTGGATATTCTGCTGCTACCAAATACTGACCTAGAAAACAAAATCAGAGCACATTTTTTACAAATTATTTTTAAATCATACAGACAATATTTACTTCTGAACCTTTATTTTGGTTATATTTATTATTTTCACATCAATTTATGCTCACAAATCCAATATGATAAAATGAAAAATATAAACTTTCTGTATTTTTACAAAGTATGTATTTTGGGGGGATACAATTCTTACATAACATTGTGGAGCTCTGATAATCACCCAAGCTTTTTTCCCCATATGTTCTTAGAAAAACTGTCATGTTTTTCAGATTTCTTATGTCAAAATATTTGTACAGAAATACAAAATTACCTTTTCTCAGCCATAGAAAAGATTATTGGAATTATTTTTAAATAAGATATTTTTAAATAAGATATATTGATATATCTTCTGGGAAGATGGCGCCGCTGTGCATGGCCTACCCTCCACCTCTGTCTGATTGTGTTTTTTCTGTTTTTGTCATTTTTCACATACAACATCGACTCACTGCTGGTTTATGAACGTCATCAACTCCTAAATCTACGACTATCTGCCACCAGTCTCGCTTTGTTTCATCATAATGACCGTAACTCTGGACGCCCCCTTGGACCCCCACCTCTGCTTGAAGACGTTCCTGTTTACCTCCGCCGTGGTATCCTGCCTGCTTAAAGACATCGCTCCAGGCACCATGGAAAACAGGCCGGCCGTCTTGTGAGGATCAAAGCCTGCCGGGCTGCTGCTGCGGCTTCCTCTTCAACCGAGGACCACATCTTAAATCACCTGTCCTGGCGCTGGGCCGATCCACCCGAGTCCTTCCTGGTCCCAAGGGTCGGGTCGCGCTTCCACAGCGGACCTGTTTGCCATGGCTGGGCTTCCAGTCGTTGGAGTCATAGGTCGAACTCCACAAATCTGAGACCACTGGTCTTAACATCATGGACAACTTCTGCTGTGGTTCCTACAAGGATTGCACTGATAAATGCCAGATCTCTGGCTAATAAAACGTTCATCTTGAATAACTTTTTCTCCTCCACCGGTCTGGACTTCTTCTGTGTGACTGAGACATGGCTCTCCTGTGGTGAGTTCATGGCTCTGTCGGAAATGTTACCACCGGACTGTTCTGATTTTAATGCTCCGAGAATATCAGGCAAAGGTGGTGAATTATTAACTATTTAAAAAAAACGTTGGAACTGCAAACTAGTACAGATACCAGCTAATTTTTTTAGCTTAGAACTGCTATGTTTTGAGGTGGGCCGTTCAAATCCTGTTCTATTTCGTATAGGCCTTTTAAGGCTATCGCTAGTGGGTTTATCCCTTCGCGCGCAGCACTGAAAACTTTAGTCCACGCCCACCTGCTGTGTGGGCCTCACCCCCGGTCCATATAAATTACAGTGAGACCGGGTAATCGGCTCCCATTTTTTCTTCAGCCAGCCAGCTAGCACTGTCAGAATAACGAAGAAAGAAAAGTTATCCAGCTTTGACCGGCACAACCTTTGCTAAGTATGCCTGGGTCTCCGCCACGCCAACCTCCTGCCGTCTCGGTGAGCTCTTACTCCCCGAGGAGAAGCAGAGACGAGCAGCCTTGTTCAAGGTAAGCGCCGAGGAGTGCTTTTCTGTGGCGGGCCGCTACCCACTGGACGACGCCATCGCCTTTTCTAACGTTTTTTCCTTGCGGTGAATCGGATGATTCCCTCGAAAAAGGCGATACGGGTAGCAGCTCCGCTGAGTGTTTTTTTTCCGTGGCGGGACGTTACGCATGGGACAACGCCACCGCCTTTCTTTGACCCAGAATCACGCAGTGAATCGGATGACTCCTTCGAGAAAGGCGATGCTGGAAACAACCTCACTGCTCCTTCCCTCCTGGAGAGCGTAGTGACGGAAGAAGAGCGGTTGAACGGATGCTCAGCCACCTTGGGTCTTCCCACGTCAGTGACCACACCACTCCCAGCCGTCGGTGCCCTCCTCTTGGAGTTGCCCAGCATAATCCAGGAGGCTGCTAACACAAGGGACATTCTGTCCCTCACCTCCCTCCGCCCTGATCGGCTGATCTGGCGGGAAGGTTTGGCTCTGCCCCGGCTCGTCGCCCTGATCCCATCTGGCCTTGCTGTCCAGCTGTGACGTCACATTGGAATGAGGTTGCAGCTGGGCCCAGCAAGCTGAAGACATCTGTCTCCACCTTCGCATCCATCTCCAGAGTGGAGGGTTTTTACCGAGCTGTGTTTTTTCCCCTCGGTTCTCCCCCCTGGAGCCAAGCCTGGTGGAGACGCTTGGGATAAAAGGATGGACCGGCAACCTATCCCTCCAGGAAAGCATGACCAGAGGGTGACAAAGCTCTCCAACTGAGCTCACCAGTGCACATCTCAGGCAATCGTGGCAAACAACAACATTGCTCTGCTAGCCTACAGCATCTCAAAGAGGCTGGAAGAAGCAGACCTGCTGGAGGAGACAAAGAGCTCTCTCTCTGTAAAGCCGCTAATGTCATCTTAAACATGTGTGCCACCTGTGTAGTCTGCCTGTCCTGCATTGCCACCTGGATGACCATGATCCAGAGGACCACCTGGATCTGCCTCTTGCCATCCTTGGCTGAGAGGCTGCAGAAAGACCTGCTGGAGGGCCCCAACACCCCAGAGGCGCTGTTTGGGGCAACCTTCAGGACCATCCTTGAGAAATCGCAGCGGTCCGAGGAGGTCTCAGAGACTATACACCATCTGGTGACGTCACAGTCCTCCTCCCGCCCCTCCGGCTGCTGGAGGGACTGCCTTGGCCAGCAACAGCAGTAGAGCAGCAGAGGCACTCCACAGCTGCAGCAGCAACTTCACGCTCCTCTCCTCCGCCGGCCTCTTCCACCAGGTAATAGATCCTTGAGGGGAATGTACAGGTCCTTCTCAAAAAATTAGCATATTGTGATAAAGGTCATTATTTTCCATAATGTAATGATAAAAATAAAACTTTCATATATTTCAGATTCATTGCACACCAACTGAAATATTTC